GATTTCGACGTGCTCGGCGGCAGGTCATGAACATGCTGACACAACACCTACGGTTGCCTTAAGAATCAGCAAGAGCGCGATCGCATTTGCTTTTGAGACATTTGGTTTGAAAGCCCTCATTGCCCAGCCGTGAGTTTCAATGTGTTTCCGAATCACTCAATTTTGATTCCCTTTGCGCACGCGCGGTTGTAGAATTTCGGCATGCGCGCGCGACGACGCGCGCGTGTGCACTGCGTCCCTTTCTGTTGCGTGGAAATCTTGAAAACTTAAGTTTCTTGATAAGCGAGTGCGCGCGCATAATGTACACTGCAGAGGATGAGGGGGGCGCCGACGCCAGCCGGCCTGGGATGGTACGATTTCATAGTTAAGATGGATGATGGGGCAGGATCGCACGCAAATTGCCACGCGACAAAAGGGGCCATTAGTTCGGGGGAGGCGCGGGGTAGATCCTAATAATCTTTTGAACAAATCTATTGGAACCGGCGACGGGGCGGCGGCGACGACGAGCACAGAACCGCCAGACCGGCCGGTGGGCCCAGGCGGCGGGCGGCGACGAGGCGGCGAGGGGGCGGCAACGGCGGGCACGGAGCCGCCAGACCGGCCCGCAGGCCTAGGCGACTGGCAGCGAGGAGGCGGCGCCGGGGTGGCGACGGCGGGCACGGAGCTGCCAGACCAGGCCGCAGGCCCAATTCCTTATGACAAAATTAAGAACCCATAAATGCAAGCACTGTTTTGGGAACGCAGATCGACCATGATATGGGTACGTAGCGAGAGAGGCATTGATCTATAGATATGCTAGAGCCATCGCGCGCGTGTTCGATTTATACGCACCATGGGGCCAAGCGTATAGCGCGTCAATGATCGGGTCCTTGGCTTGGAATCCCACGCGGTAATGTCTGAAGTCGCATTGAAGCTTGGTGTTCGCAGCAATCTTGGGCCATCCGTGCAACTCTTTTCGGTGCAACTTGGGCCTCCGAGGCTGTCTTGGCGCCACACTTTCGCAACACATTGGAATTTCAGAACAGAAAAGAAAACATGTTGATATTAAATTTGGTTTGGGCTGATGTCACCCTCCTGGAAGCCCTGTGTTGGCACTCTGGTGGCCTCGTTGGGCCTGACCGTGTTGCTGGGGACGTCCTTGGGTAACTTGGGGGCCTCCTGGGATCGTGGTAGGCCCTCTTGGAACTCCTGCACAGCTCTGGGAATCTCTTGGGGTGCCTCGGGACGAAGGGGAGATGATGTGGAAGGAAAAAAGAAAGGACGCAACCACGACAAGGAAGCAGGAACGCGATCAGGGAAGAGGGAGGGATGAGGGAGAGGATGTCTCGTGGCAGTCTTCCAGGGGCTTTCCTGGGGTGTCTTCAAAAACCCCAATTGGGGGATATTACATAAAAGGATGTTCCACGGGAAGCAAGAAACATATCACTGGGAACGGACAGTGAAGGATGGGGGAGGCGGTCACGCATTCTAAGGGGGGTCGAACTTGAATATTTCTGTTTTGTAAGATTTGTGTTCGTTGTTTTCGAATTGGGGGGCCTCTGCCACTTCGTGAAGCAGGAAAGTGGGTAAGGGAGGCGGGAGGAGGAAGGAGTAAGGGAGAGATGAAATGCAGGGAGGAGGGAACAGGGACACAGCGAGGAAAAGGGAGGAGGAGAGAGGGATCAGGGAGGAGGGAGGGAGGAGGAGAGATGATGCTTCGTGACAGTCTACCGGGGGCGCGGGGGCGGCTCTGGGGTGTCTCCAAAACCTTCCTGCAGCCTGTTGCGGGGTCTCGGAAGGGTCTCGTGGGGGCTCTTGGGAGCCTCCTGGGGGTCTCGAAGGCTCTTGGGTGGCTGTTGGGGGCTTCTTGGGGGTCTCCTGGGCGCTCTTTGGGTTTCTGGGAGCCCGTGGAGGCCTCCTGGGCGGCTCCTGGGGGCTTGTCAAAGCCTCTTGGGAGCCGCTTTGGGGCCTCGTGGGTGCCTCTTCGAGCGTTTTGGTGGCCTCTAGGTGTCTCTTGAGGCGTCTCTTGGAGGCATCCTTGAGCTCTCTTGGACATCCGGCGGACGCCTGGGAAGCGCACTGGAAGCAAAAATGTGAGAACGAACGGCACATTGAGTTTCATTCGATGTTTCAATGGTGTTGGCCTCTCGAGGCTTCTTTGGAGGTCTCTTGGGCGGTCCGCTTGCCAATGCAGGGTGGGCGGGTGGAAAAGGGAAGCCGCAGCGCGGGCTGAAGCCAACGGCCGCGAGAGCGGGAGGCAGAGAAATGGAGGAAGAGGAGAGCACGGCATATATATACAGTAAGTATATACATATATGTGTATATATACATATATATACAGGGAGATTGAACAATAGAGCGAGAGAGTGAGAGAGAGAGGGAGAGAGAGAGAGAGAGACTGAGCGAGGGGGGAAGGAGAGGGAGAGATAGAGCGAGCGATGGAAAGACACAACTAAACGAGAGGAGGATGAGGAACACGCTTGTGTTGGATCTTTACGGGGCCTTCTTTTGTTAGGCTCAATGCTGTCTGCTTTTACCTCGATTAGGCTCCGCCAGCAATAGATCTGTACTTGTGACATGCGTGTGAAAAGAGCCGGTTGGTACGGTGTTATTCGCCCCCCTGCGTTCCCTGAGGCCGCTTGTGCAATGTCGAACACAGCCAAACAATACCATACAGTGCAATGCCAAGCAATGCCATGCAAACGTCAAGCAACGCCAAGCAACGCAAAGCAAGGCCACGCAATGCCAAACCATGCCAAGCAATGCCAAACAACGCCAAACAGCCCAACGCAATGCAAAGCACTGGCAAGCAATGCCAGGCAACGTCAACCAACGATTCCAAGCGATGCAAAGCAACGCCACGCAATACCAATCCATGTGTTGCATTGCATTGTTCAAGACTGAACTGGATGACATCGATTCCCTAATTGGGGTCGCGCCGGTCTCATGCAATGACGAGCTTATTCTTATGTGTATATATGAATAATCAACGCATACGTTCTTACACGCATATGCAAATAACTTTCCAAACATGACTCACAACACGGTCCCCCCATGCTTGAACCACCAGGGGCGTCCAATTAAACTCCGAACACCGCTGGGGTTACCTAGTAATCATTCAACCAGCGGCGAGCCCTGGGGGAAGTGAGAAGGTGTGGGCCATCTTAGAAGGCTCTGAGGGCCTCGGGCTGAAAAGTTGCCTAAGCCTTCGCCGAATACATACAAGACCATTCACATGAGAAGTCCAGACGCCTTCTGAGAAGGCCTCCTCCTTCTTACTTCTCCCCCCTTCGATCGCCGATGTAAGCAACACCAGCGACGGATTGAAGCACCTTGTGCACCAGAGCGACGACACAGCTTCTTCTGACGCATCTAAAGAACCACCCCGGCCACGGAGCCACTCCTCCACCCCTCTCCTACTCCACCCCTGCTTGGATAAACGGGCCAAGTCAGGGCCTCGGGGAAAGCCGGGCCCCCCCGCGTCGATTTGGAGGCTGGCGGGGAGGTCGATACCGCCAGCTGGGCGTGGCATCGGCACACGGTTGACCATCCCCCGGGGCTGGCGGAGGTGGGCCCCCATTTTCAAGGCTTGGGGGGCGCTTCTCCCAGGGGAGGGGGGCAGGCCGTGGTGGGACTGGGAACCTCCCTTCCGCTGCGGATCCCAGCCCCGCCGTGGTTCACTTCCCTGCTGGGATCGCAGGCCAGTGGGCTCCGTATTCGCGCCAAGGGCGAGAGTCAATCGTCTGGTTGTTTGATGGTCTCTAAAGCCTGACGTGTGTCTTGCGAATGTCTCTCGTTTGTTTTGTTGATGGCCTCTGGAGCCTCATGTGAGCGACGCCCAGAAGGGAGTCTTACCCGGATGGCACAGCGACCTTACGTGGCGGCTTACGCGAACGGCCAGCGCGGCACGCCAAATCGGAGACGAGGGCGCTTACGCGCGACCTTACGCGAACAGCTTACGCGCCAATGCCGGCGCAGACGAACGACTCCCTTTTCTGCGTCGCCCATGTGCGTCCTGCGGACGTCTCGCGTTTCTTTTGATGGCCTCTGGTACCCCACTTTGTCTCAGTGATTGTCTCTTCTTGGATTTGTCCGCCCGAGGTGAAGTCGAGCCCGCTTTAAGAAGGTTCTTCGACTGTCGTGGCCAACTGGGCTCGGCAATCGCCCAGTTTACAGGAAGTGGCCCTGCCTTCGTGGACGGCTGATCTGATCCGATCGTCCCCTGTGTCAAATCATCCCACTTCTTCTCTCCTTCCCCCGTCGCGTCCTCCCAACTCCTCTCCCCCACACCTGTCGCGTCCTCCCCCCCTCTCCTCCCTGTCATCTCCCTCTCCTCTCCCCTCCCCCACTCCCCCTGTCGCGTCCTCCCCCCTCCTCTCCCCCTCCCCGTCCCCCCACCCCCGCCTCCCTCCTCTGCGTCCTCCACCCCAGCGGGGGTGTGCCCACCCGCGAAGACGCTGCCCAGCAGCATCCCGTTGCTGACCAGGTCGAGGGCGGCGCGCGGGTTGTTCGCCCGCGTACTCGGCGGCCGCTTTGTCGCCGTCGTAGCAGGTAGAGGAGGAGGAGGTGGAGGAAGAGGAGGACGAGGATGAGGTCATCGTGAGAGGAGAGAGCGAGGATGGGTTGTAAACGAAACAGGGGAACGGGATGAAGGTTTGAGGTTTGAGGTTTTCTGGCATGTTCGCAGGGACAGGCTCTCCAGTGGCATTTGGGAAACAGGGGCTCGGGGATGCCGACTGTCTCAGGAGCTTGCCCAACGACACGCAACTGGACACCCTAGAGTGCAGTCGCCAGGGCTACTGGTGTCTGCGAACTTGCCCAAGAACAATAATAGTATGATCATCCTCCTCCACCTCCTCCACCTCCTTGTCTTTCTCCTCCTCCTCCTTCTCCGCCTCCTCCTCCTCATCCTGCTCATCTCATCCTAGATATGATCCTACCCCCCATTGCTCCTTTTCCTCCTCCTCCTCCTCCTCCTCCTCCGCGGCCTCCTCATTTTCTCCCGCCCCGTTCTCTGCAACCGGTTTGATGGAACTGGCAGGCGGATTAATCAATGCAGCTTGAACGAAGTACCACATGGAGCACAGCCTGCCCGCCAGACCCCTCGTCTTCTTCCTCCTCCTCCTCCTCCGCCCTTCTCTCTCCTCCTCCCTTCTCTCCTCTCCGCCCTCCTTCTTCCTCCATCGTTTTCTCCTCCTTCCTCAGTGCTCATTCCTCAGTTACGCTTTCTATATCCTCCCTCCTCCGTCCTTTCTTATCCTCCCTCCTCCCTCCTTCCTCCATCCCCATTCCTCCTTCACCCCCCATTTCTCGTCAGAGCTCCTCGCCGCCTCCTTGCTCGACTCGATGCCCCTTTCCAGAACCTGCTGCCCCTTTCCCCTCCCCCCTTCCCCCTTCCTCTCCTCTATCTCCCTCCGCCCTCCGTCCTCTTTCCTTCTGTTTCGTCGTTTTCGTCGTCTCATCATGTTTTTTCTCTTCCTCCCTGGTCGCTTCCTGGCGCTCCTCCTCCCCCCCTCCTCCTCCCTTAGGGTAGGGGGCAACAGCAGGAGGGGAAGGAGAAGGAGGAGGTCTCTGTAAGGTATCATGCTCCAATGGTCAGAAACCTAGATGAACCCACAAACACCCGAACTACTGTTGGCGGCCATGCGGTGTATCCGTCGCGGGGGGGGGGGGGGGCAAGGCAAAGGACGACTGGGCGAATGAGGAGGAGGATGAGGAGGATTGGTGCAAACTCAAGACGCATCAAAGATATTGCAATCAACCCGTCCTCTAAGTTCCCTCCTGATAGGCCCCTTGCACGATTTCATTTTCATTGAGGGAAGAGCCCCGTTGAAAGAAAACCATTTGGAAATGCGGATGTGTGCCAGAAAGCTGTTCCTGAGGCAGCAGCGCCGCGAATCACCATTACTGTTGCGTCCTCCTAAAACACAGTTCCCGGGACGCTAAACATGAAAACCGTCGAAACTGCTGCGAAGTCTTAAGACGAATGTGCGCGGCGCGAAGGCAAGAACCCTATTTTGAAAAAGGACCGCCCTCCATCAGTGAAACTTTCACCAAGTTTTACGACGAGTGTGCGCGGCGCTATGGCGATAACCACATATTGAAAATGGGCCGCCATCCATCCACGAAGCTCTTGCAACAATATCGTAAGCAATGAGCCAGTGACAAGCCCTTTCGACCAGCCTCGGGGTGCGACAGGGAGGAGTTATCTTTAAGGAGAAGGAGTGGCGGAGGAGGAGGGGAAAAGGATGAGGGGGAGGAGGAGGACAAGGAGAAGGAGGAGAGCAACGACGGGGACGGGGAACTCCCTGGGAACATCGCTGGCCATACAATGGCTTGCGGCCGCGACCGGGTACGCTTGGATTGAGCTTCCTGGGAAGAGCGTTTCCTACGCCATTCCATGTGTCCTGGAAGCGAGCGGGCATGTACGAGGCTCACGGGAGGGGCACCAGCCCAAGGCACATGTAATTAGTGAGGATGCTACTGCGAGTAGCCAAGAATGACCCTCTAGGCAAGGCGTGTTGGGGGGAACGCCCAAAACGCTCCATCGACTTCGATCCTCGGTCGGTCATCCCTGGGCTGCTTTGCTTTCCCCTCCAGGCTCCTTGGCATGAAAGAAAGATGTCCGGATGGAAACGGGCCCTGGACCCTGGGGCCTTCCCCTGGCCCAACTTCCAAACGTCGAACAGTTTGTCACGCCCCCAGGGCCCTGTGAGGCTCGTAGCGCGCGACGAAAACGCTGAACAGACCTTGCAAGATACCCTCCGACATACCCTTCTTTTCCCACCCCGGCCCCGAATCGTACGCCTCATTCCCCTGGACCGTGTGCTCCCGGGGCCCGAACGCGGGCCCCCTGAGGGCCGAAATGCAGGAAGCATGGGCGATTGAAAACCACACGTCGTCGGAAGTCTGGGCTCCACAGGTCCCCCTCCTCTGCTCTTAACACGGGGTCGCTGGACCTCTCGACCACTCCCAGGGGCGACGGCTCTCTCGCCCCATGATCGTCTCCCGACGGCCTCCGGGGCCCGCCAGCGGCCCCCTGGGGCCGAACACGGCGAAAAACTTCCGCCCTGCTGTTTACTGTAAGACGCTGTGTCCAGACACCCGGCGCTCAATTCTCGCTGATGCCTCGACCCGTTCGCCAAGGCTGGGCTTTCGTCCCGGGTCGCTTGTTGGCTGCCCCGAGGCCCGAAACCGGCCTCCAGAGGCCAAAGATGTCAACAAACTGACTGCTCTGATGTTCTCGAGGTTCCAAATGTCTGGGCGGCCCTCATCGTCTTCCCTGGACATAGCTTTTCGCCCGAGTCCTGTATGGATGTCCCTAGGGCCCGCAAGCGGCCGCCAGAGGCCGAAATCAAAGGAAAACGCCAGGATTGAAACAACATGAAACAACCCATCCGCCAGATGTCCCAGACCCACGACGTCGTGATTTTTGTTCGTGACGCTGACCCCAAATGTCTGAACCCCTTCCTGGGGACCGGCTTCTCATCCCGAGTCGAGGCCCAGTGAGTGCCCCTGGGGGCCCAACACAGCAAAACATCTTTCGTCGTGATTCTCTTGCGACGATGGCATCTATGGGAACGTCTTACAAAGGGAGAATGTCTGGTGAGGGCCCCCAGAAGCCCGAAAAGAACGAAAAACCTCATTTCTGTTTAGTTCACGACGCGAGGGGGGCTGGGGCCCTGGGTTCACCCATGCCGAACCTCTGGCCAACTCGCCAGTATTCCGCCCGGCCGACCGACGGACTCGCTCACGACAATGACGACGACGATCACAACGACGACGACGACGGCGAGGACGACGGCGACGACGACGACGATCACGACAGCGACGTCGACGTCGCCAACGACGACGACGATGACGACGGCTGCGGCGGCGGCGGCGGCGATGGCGACGCGACGCCGCGGGCGACGCCGCGCGCGCTGGCGGCGCCCGTCGCCGGCGTCGCCCCGCACGCGGGGGCGATGGGCGCGCTCTCCTCGTGTAGGGCTTGCGCGCGTACCTGGGCGGCGGCGGCTTCGGCGGCGCCCGCCGCGCGCGAGCCGCCCGCGCGAGCAGCCCAGACGTCCTCGCGTAGCGAAACATGCGACGGGACTTGCCTTTTCCCATTTCCGGCCTTGCGACTTGTTAGCAACGGTGGGGGTTGCAATGTTTCGGGCCCCAGAACCCTGGCATATCGATCCAGCTAGAACAATGCGACAGAAGGATGAACGACGAAAAGAAACGAATCTTACGCGAAACGACAGAGCGACCTTGGGCAATAGTTTACGCGGACCGCCAGCGCGGCAGGCTATATTGAAAACGAAGGCGCTTACGCGCGACCTTACGCGGGCAACCAATGTCCGTGAAGACGATTGGGACTCCAGGCCCCGGTCGAGCTTCTGCAATGTTGCAGCGGTTCTTTCGTGACGTCGGCTCTCAAGGGCTGCGCGCACGCCCGCGCGCGAAACGCCACCCCCCCCCCTTTGGAAACCAAGCGCCACATTTTTGTCCACGCTGGTCGTCGCCGCCCACTCTCGGGCTCCTGGTGCCGTCGCGGATCGATCGGGCTCGAGCTTTGGGGAGGTCTTCCTAAGAACGGGTATGGGCTATGTAATCCGATGGGTCCGATGAAGGGGCCGTTGGGTACCACTCTCGGGCTCCTGGGGCCGTCGCGGATCGATCGGGCGAGGGAATAGGAAACAACTTTGGGAGGTCTTCGTCAGAACGATTCAGGTCTATACAAACTGATCGACGAGCCATTGAGCCGGAGCAACCCAGATTGAGCGGGGGGTGAAGCCGAATTTCACGTTGCTCGGATGAATCATTTAACAGCATGAAGTAGGAAGGCGGGTCAAGTAGATTTGGTCCAGGCCCTCCCAAATAATAACAAAACACAGCAACAGCATATCGGTTCTTGGAGTAGGAATACACTTGAAATAGAGTGGGACCTGGGAATCCAGAAATACATACTTTCAACGACCGACGTGTAAGCTGGATGAACTGGGATTGGGCGAGATGAGACGGGATTATGCCAAATTTGGCTGCCCTTCGGCCGCGGATCTACTGGCGCTGACGCTGAATTAGACCCTCCAGAAGTTGCATCCCAAGAGGGCCCCAAGAGCGCCCAAGACCGCTCCAAAAGCGCCCCAAGAGAGGCATGATTGAGCCTCCCAGGGGGGTGGGGGGGGACGGGGGCCAAGGCGGCCCAACGAGACCTCTGAGACCCACCCAAAGGCCCAAGGGGGCCCCAAGATGGCCCCCAAAGAGCCCCAAGAGGGCCCCAAGAGAGCTCCACCAGGGCCTGGCTTACCTGTGGACATGCTTCAACGTCATGGTGGTGCACGTCCACCACAACCTGGCCAACGGCGGCGGGGGCGTGACAAAACTGCATGACTTCTACGGGTGGTTTGTCCGCTGCGTCTTGCAACATGACGTTAAGGCATGCATGGGCGACTTCAATATGCGCATGCTGCAACTCGTGAGCTGGTGCCGCAATCGCGGCCTCGCCGTTGACGTCGCCGCGTGGGCCCTTTGGAAAATTAAAGGCGGTCAGCCCAGGGCAGACAACATGGCGATTATGTTAATCAACTGCCCTGGGGAGTACAAACTCAAAGATGGTCTGGACGTATTGCACGGCGGTAACCGCGGGTGCTTGACGGCATACCATGATGCTGAGAACCCTGTCTTCGACTACAGTACTGGCTCGGGTAAGCCGCTGCAGACCTACCTGCGCAAGCACAGCACTGCCGCAGACAATCTGCGAGCATATATCACTTCATCCGACGCGTCCAAAACCGCAGTTGCGGAATTTGAGAAGAAGATGTCGGAGCAGGCAAACGGCGAGTTCACGCCCCACCCTTTCAAAAGACGACAGCTGACAGCGGATCCTCTGTGAAATGGTCTGGTACGGCAACGTCGGCAAAGCTCGCAACGGAGCGCAGTTCCAAGTGGTTGCGTTCACCAACAATACGTGCCGCAGAGCACCAGAGAGACTCGCGTCTCAACGCGAGAAGAAAATGGAGCGGCTGGGCAGATGGACGAGAATAAGCAAAGGCGACCGCATTCATCCCGCAGTTGCGGAGAACCCCCCTGGGACTGGCGGCCAGAAGGAAAGCGAAGCGGCAGTGGCAGATCCCAGCGCCTCCCGCAGTTGCGGCGGAGCCTCGGGCGCCAGCGGCGGCGTGGACGACGGCCGTGCGACTGGATCACGCGATGGATGCAGGTCGTGGGGTGGCTGGTGGTGATGGTGGTGGTTTCCAGGAGAATGTGCAGCAGCTGCGGATGATGCTTCGTGGAGGTCGAGCAACCAGTGGTGGGCGAGCAACGGGCGGGAGAGCTGGGCAGACAGCCTGTGGACAACCAACCAGTGGGCGGGCTGGAGTTGGGGTGCACACCGCGGATGGACGTAGTTTCGCATGGCTGTATCGTGGCCGCAGTTGCGGGCACTGTTGCATGTGGTTGCTGGGGTCATCGCTGTTGCCGTTGCCACCGTTGTGTTGTCTGCGCCCAAGCAAATATCGCAATCATTCAAAACAGTCCCCAAGAACTGCTGTGAACGAGTCGTCGCCGTCGCGGAGCGCACGAAGTATGGAGCCGCATGCGCCGAGGTAGCGCGATGGGGGTTTGCGGAGTTCCGCACTGCTGGGGGTGGTCCAGGATGACCCGGGGGGAACCAGACCCAGGAGGGGGTGGTCTGGTCGGGCGGGAGGCCTGGCCGCGGTAGCAGGCAAATCTCCCAGCGCCCCAGGGGCTGCTGCAATTGCTGTTGTTGCTGCTGCTGGAGCGACTCTCGGGGTCCGGTCAACATTGGGTCGTTGGGCGAAGGCTGGAGGTCGATAGGTGGAGGTGGCGGTGGAATGTCGAATGCTGGGTGCTGGAGATCGGAGCGCATAGGTGGCGGAAGCTGGAGGTCGATGGGTGCAGGCTGACATGGAAAGTCGGGTGCTGGACGTTGGAGGTCGGAGCGCTGATATGGCGGAAGCTGGAGGTCGATAGGTGGAGGCGGAAATGGAAAGTTGGATGCTGGGTGCTGGAGGTCGGAGCGCTGAGGTGGTGGAAACTGCCGGTCGATTGAAGGAGCAGGAAGAGGAGTAGGTGTCGGAGTAGGAGTAGGAGGAGGAGGAGGAGGAGGAGGAGGAGGAGGAGGAGGAGGAGGAGGAAGAAGAGTAGGAGTCGGAGTCGGAGTCGGAGGAGGAGTAGGAGTACGAGTAGGAGGATGAGGCGGAGGAGGAGGAGGAGCCAGCCCCCCTCCTCTGCGAGCGCGGCAGGGGTCGCCTGGTCACGAACACCTTGTCCGCGAGGTACTCGGGTCCGCCGCCGCGCGCGCGCACGCGCCCAGGAGCCCCGCTCCGACTCGCCCTCGGCATCGGTGCATGCATCGGGCTGCCGAAAGAAGGAACGCTAAAACAGGGAACTAAGCACCTCTAATGGTACCTAATCGTCCTGGTTGCACGGGGATGCCTAGAGGAACAACCGCAGAACGACCTGATGAACAGTGAGCCCCTTCTTAGCCCAAAGCGGGCCTTGTTTCAGCGCCTCGACTGTAGACACATCGGAACAGAACTCGATCTGCCTCATCACACGCTAATACTTTACCTCCTGAGCAGTAGGTGCAAGGAGCCTCACAGTGAACACCGCCAGGGTCGCGCTCACAAGGTCGTCGTCTTCTCTCTTAGATGAAGTTCGCCGCGTTTCGCCGGACGAGCCATATCTGATCGTGGCAGACATGACGGGCGACTTCATAAATCTCTGCGCGTGAGCCTCCTGCGTGTGTTGAAATATGTTTTTTCCTCGCGACCCATATGGGCCCGTCCTCGTGCGAGCGGAGTAACTTGCCATGGCGCATTCTTCGTTGATGTTTGGGGGCTCGCAAGTGCCGCAGAATATCCGTGGGTCCCTGGGGCGGGGGATACGACATTTTCGTCGGGCACCTGCTGGCAGGCCGATCTCTTATTTGATGGCAAGGGGGGAAGAGGATGGAAGGGCATGGGAATCTGGCGTCAAATCTTTTCTTAACGCGGGCCGTCTTCTCGGGCCCCGCCGGGCCCTCTCAGATTGATGCGACTCGAGCAGCGCCGGGGAAAGGTGAGGTCGAGTGGCTAAGTCGTGTTTGTTCGCGATATGCTGTTTTTTGCTTCGTGACGTTTGCAACACAAACAGACTGAGCCTTCCAGGAAGATGCTGGCTAAACTTTGCGGAAAACCAGGGCTAAGCCTGGCCACCGTGCCAATTCGCTTCGGCATGAGGGAGAGGGGAGGGTCCGAGAGGGAGAGAGAAAATACAACATAAGCCATTAATCAGCAATCTGAGGCAGAGGGTTTTGACGTCTTCTGTTATACATACATGTATCAATAATCCCCAACCAGTGCTTGCACTAAAAGGGCTCTTGGTTGTTTTCGAAGGAAACTGGGCCTGTACGTCAGCCTGGCGGCTATGTAGTCGCCGTCGCCGCTCCGTCGCCCCGTCGTCGCCATCCGTCGTCTGGGCCTGTCTGTCAGTCTGGCGGCTATGTTGTCGCCGTCGCCGCCCCGTAAAGACACAAGATGATTAACTATTCGATGAGGGTCCATGTATTGATCGCTTACGGTTGAGAGCTTGTGCTTATCGTGTCGTGCTTCCTGCACCTCCCATCCAGGGGAAACTCACCCACCCACTCCAACTGGGATCCAACACCAGCGGCGGACGGAGCTATGGCCTAGACTTCAACGAATACATGAGGCGAGAGATGGGCATAAGTTCTAAAGCGGGTAGCGGCAAGCAGGTCCCACTTTTAGCATGGGCTGCGATGCACCATGATGAGCCCCACATGGCAATGGACAGGCGGGATTCATGGTGGACAAAAAGAATTGGGGGACCCCCCCCAGGGCGAAACCCAACCGGAACTGCGGCGGCCCCGCGACACGCAATGCCTTGCAAGCAGATAGCTTGTCGCTCCGCTCCGCGAGGCGGGAGACTTCGAACGGCTCGGGACGTGTAGGGTTAGGGACCAGGACGTGGATGGCGTGTCGCGCCTAAGCGAGGTTGGCCAAAACCGAAGACGCGACACGCTGACCAAACGCTCCCGACCTTACTCTGAACGACAGTGCAGTCATCGTGATACCATCGGGAATGCTTCTGGAGTCCCGAAACGGTGCGGTGACAGACCGTGCGGTGACCTCGAAATCCCCCAAGACCTCACCGCACGGTCCGTCAACGCACGCTTCTGGAACCTCGGATGCCCCAGTCGCCCGAGACGTCCTCGGTGGACGACCCGAGTTTCAAAACTGTGCGGTGACCCCGAACCCCCACTGACTGCGAGGCGGGGATTTATCCATATCCACCGCCTGGGAGCCGACGTGATGGTGCCTCAGCGGGCGGTGGATATGGATAGATTTCGGCCCCTGAGGGCCCGAATATGTCCATATCCACCGCCGGCCGAGGCTCCGAAAACTGACCCTCCAGGCGGTGGTCATGTAGAAATTCCCGCCTCGGAACCGACTCACCACACGGTGTGGTCACCACCCCGTCTGGGGGCCCCCGAATGCTGCAGGAGGGCCGGAAGGGGCCGCTCTGGCCACGGTGGGCCTCGGCCGCGAGGAGGTTCCCCGACCCCCCGGCCTCGGGAGCGGCCCCGGACACCAGAGCCCCCCCCCCCCCCCGAGCCCGAAGGGGCCCTCCTCTTCACCCGCCCCACCTGTAGGTGTTCAGCGGGAGGCGGTTTTCTGAGAACCCCCCCACCCCCTCCCTCCCTCCCTCCCTGACCTGCCTCCTGACCTCTTGCGTGCAGTACTGTGCTGTATTTTCCGCCCACCTGGGTTACTTTCCCTTGGTGCCGATGCTAATGATCTATTGCTGCGAGCGCCGCCACTCACCTGACCAGCGAATTGCTGAATCAGTTGCGCAATCAAAAAAAAACATCCCTCTCTCCCTCCCTCTGCGGGGGGCGGTTTTCTGAAACCCCCCCGCCTCGCCCTCCAGAAGTCGCACGCCCCCCGAACGCTTTTCCTGTAGAGGGACACGGCGCGCTACGAGAACGAGTTCTCGGAAGTCCGCGACGATCTCTTGGATATGCGCCGCTACCCTCTTTCCCCCTGGTGCGCGGAGCGCGCCATGGGCGGCGGCGCCCCCAGCGCCGCCAGGTGCACAGCGCCGGAGAAATCCGCGCGGAGCTCCGAGCAATCACGCTCATGTTCGTCGACTGCGGGGGCGACCTCCCCAACCTTCCCCTGAGATCCGACGAGGCGAAACAATTGCCAAACCGCAGAAGATCATGCCCGGAACTCTGGCCCCCATCTGTCTGCGCCATGTCTCAGGCCGGATCGATCTCTGAGGGTCCCTGTGCCCGAAACCGGGGAAACACGCTGGGACGAAAACAGTGAGACGCCAGGATCTCAAGGTCGGCCCCTCGACCTCCACCTTCTGAACTTTCCGCGCCGGGGTGGCGGCAGCGGATCGCGGCCTCGGCGCGGGCGCCTTCTGCGCGGAGGGTGCGGAGGGCGGAGGTCGAGGCGCTTTCGTTTTGTCCTCCTCCTCCTCCTCCTCCTTCGGAAGTCGATGGCAGCGGGGCAGAACTACGGGAACCAGGTCAGGGAGAAGGGCAAGGGGCACAGGATGGGACCACCAGGTATCCACACGTCACGGGGATGGCGCTCATGGAAGGCATCCAGGAGTTGGTGTCGGACTGGCAGACAAAAGATTCAGCAACAGTACCAGCATCAATAAATCGGGCATTGGACACCCTGAACGACTTCCTGATGCTGATGGAGGACAACAGCGAGCACAGCCTGATCACAGAGACGATCAAGATGTGCAAGGCCAGCGAGAGCTACAAGGCGCGCAACAACAATAACAGGAACCCGAACGAGGACGAGCAGGAATTCTGGGAGGAGGGCTCAGGCAATATCCATATCGGCATCAACGGGTCTCCCAGCTTCAGAGCGGTGCTCCCGAAGGACATGGAGGAAGAAACCATGGCGAAGCTGGAACAGTTCGCGGGCCACGACCTGAGGATGGCGATGGGGATGCTGATCGTCTGCGTGGGAGGCAAGAAGTCCCAGTCGGCAGCACCCAAGTCGGAACTGGAGAGGATGGCGGAGAGGGAGCTTCAGCGTCGGCGCCGCTGAGGACGGAGGGGGTGGTTGCATTAGCGAGGTCTTGTAGGAGTGCGGCACCGCCGAGGCCAGAAGGGGTAAGTGCATTAACGAGGTTATCTCGGAGTGCAACGACCCCAGGGCAAAGCGCCAGGCCGCAGCTGACGCGGACAAGCAATTACACTGCACCTCCGACGGCGTCAGCATCAAGCAATGAAGGTGCCGCCCCAGGGCCCCCCCCCCTGGGGCAGTTGGGCCTAGCCTGCGTGCCCAACAGCGCGCAGACGAAGAGGAAGAGACACCTTTTCAGATGATGAAAGAATAGCAGAATCAAGCAGCATGGACGTTGAGCACCTCGCTGAACTCAGACGTTTTGCCTCCGATGGTAGGGCATACGAAATGGCCCTGACGCTTCGAGCAGAACGGGCAGCGGAGCTGCAGAGAAATGCCCTGGGGAACGGCCTCCCTGGCAACAGCCAGCCCACCCGCCCCAGTCAATAAACAACGTCATCTACCATGACGTCACGATGCGAATCTTCCTCTCTCTCATTCCATTCCAGAAACGGGGCGATGGTGGGCGGGGTACTATGCATACTGTACAGCATACGCACAGTGTAAAGATGGGTCACGGTCAGTGGGGGGAGATGGGACCAGCATACGAGGTACTACGCGATTAACAAGGCAGGCCGGACGACGCTACCATCTCCATCGATCATACTGAGTTCCCACAGCTCATCTGGCTCAGCGTGGGCCTAGGTGCGCAGTGTTGCGCACTAGCGGGGCTTCTCGGAGTGCGTAGCACGGGGAGGCCACCCATGGCCTTTACGGGCAGCAGCCAGCTATGGCCCTGCGGGCGTTGCAACAAGGGGCTCCAGTACTACACTATGATTGGGAGCCACAGGGGGCACACAAGAAATTAACCAGTTCATGAAAAAGACCAAGGAGGCAGAGGCAGTGAATGGAAGAAAGTCTGCATCGACTGCGGGCTGGAGCTGAGGCAGGAGGAGTGGGAATAATGGAGCGATGAAGAAAAGACGCTGCATGGAGGAGTGAAGTATATTTCGAGAGAGCAGGCCTGCCGAGAACAGAAGAGGAAAGCAAACGGAGCCGTGTGGGCAGCCCAGGCCTTAGGACAGGTCGAAAGCATCACAAGCACTCCTGGCGGAAGAAGAAGGCCCAAAGAACAAGTCTCGCACAGTAAGAGACAAGTTGGCCATAGAGAAGCCAAAGGATGACAAATGCGCAGCTGGAGGGTATCAACATTCATGGAGGCATATTTGCAGCCTTTAGCAAAGCAGGGGAAAGCATGA